TTTGCCTATTTGCTAAAATGCATTTATAACTCCAAAGTCAGTACTCCCAGTGCTTTCAAAGTCATTCACAGACATATACAGAGTGGCAAAAAATTTGAGTCACTGTACACATACCATCCCAGTTTAGGCTGAAAAAGGCAGTGCTCTGACTTGTGTTTCAGCTTTCATACTTTAAACAAGAGACACTTCTTTGAACTTTGTAGGGCCACTTTTTTTTAATGTACTTTTGTGCTTTTTGTCGTGATTTCACTGTCTTCAATGACATTTTAGTATAGTGTTAAAGTGCCAGCTTGTATTCCTAATCATAAGAAGACAGTGATGTGCCTTACAGAGAAAATACATGCTTAGATAAGCTTTACTCAATCAATTCTTAAAGTGCTATTGGCCATCAGTTCAATGTTAATAAATCAACAAGATGCACATCCTGGAAACAGAAGAGGAACACACACACAAATAACATATGTATCTCTTAGATGAGCTGACAATAATGATGCAAAATAATTAAAACACTAGCTATTTCAGTTAGACATTTTAAATGAGGCTCTCTCAAAATATGACACTTTTATTATCAAGTGGTTGACTTGCCTTCTAAGACTCTCAAAATTTATAAAAATATCAGATTCTTATTTTATTCAAGTGTATTTAAACAAATACATTTATAAATTACTTGGTTTATATATTTGTTTTCTCAAAAATGTATCTGAAAACTCACAATCATCAAAATTTAGAATTTATAAAATTATAGGTGTTTTTTTTTCTAGGTCTCTGGGTTAACAGACACAACTGATGTTTCATGTAGCTCTTAGAAGAAAGCAGAATGGCATACAGGAAATGAGTAAAAGCTTACTGAAGATATTGTACTCAAATTATAATGTAAGAGTTACATGTTTCCTCAGACTGGTCATAAAAACCTGCATGCTTACCAAGGCAAAATGAAGTGAAGTCGCTCAGTCGTGTCCGACTCTTTGCGACCCCATGGACTGTAGCCTGCCAGGCTCCTCCGTCCATGGGATTTTCCAGGCAAGGATACTGGAGTGGGTTGCCATTTCCTTCTCCAGGGGATCTTCCCGACCCAGTGATCGAACCCAGACCTCCTGCATTGTAGGCAGATGTTTTACCGTTTGAGCTACCAGGGAAGCCCTTCCAAGGGAAACAAGGTGCTAATGAGTTAATGAGTGGGAGAAAAGTTCTATTTTGTGTAAATTATTTCACTTTATATTGTTTCTTATTATTCTATAAAACTACCACAAAAGTTTCAGAAAGTATAACTCCTGTCCTGGAAGGAAAGTTCTATTTTGTTCATTTGCTCAGTTTTGTCTGAATCTGTGACCCCATGGACTGTTGCATGCTTGGATTCCTTGTGCTTCATTATCTCCTGGAGTTTGCTCAAACTCATGTCAATTGAGTTGGTGATACCATACAAACATCTCATCCTCTGACTCCCCCTTTTCCTCCTGCTTTCAATTCCCAGAATCAGAGTCATTTCCAATGAACTGGCTCTTTGCATTAGGTGGCCAAAGTGCTTGAGCTTCACCTTCAGCATCAGTCCTTCCAATGAATATTCAGTGTTAGCCAAGATGATTTCAACTTAGAAGCTAAAGTAAATTTTGTTATTTTTGTTTATGAGTAAAGTGTGTTTCAGGGCTACCATGAATTTATAAAATCCATCAGTAAATGTTTTGTTTACTGAATAGTTAGGTAATAATGTTAGTAAGAAACTGAATCATACTGAAATCATTAACAAATCAATCCCAGAGAGTCAATCTGTAAAATCATATTTTGCATGTGAACTCAATAAATCTTACAGAAATGCAGCACAAACTCAAACACTATTAAGCACTGTTTAGTATAGATTCGTCTCACAATTCAGGTCACTGGGACAAAAATTAGTATAGGGAAGCAGTTATTTGCTGAAGAGAGCTCTGATAGGCTTCATGAATTAATATCGTTTTCAGGGACTAGCTTAGAGCTAGAAAAAGCTTGCACATCATTCGATGATGGTAATGACAGTGACAACCATACCAAGGGATCTATTTCATTTCCTAACCAGGCATTAGGTATTTAGTTACTGACACAGAGTATTTACTGACAAGTTACCTGATACATTGATCAGACATTCTTCCCCTGATTCTCTTACTGTCAGTAATCAATATTTATGTATTATACTACAACATTTTCACTAAGGCACTAACAGTTATTGTGTATTCACAAGTTTATGAATGTCTATAATTAATGAATTTAAACTCAGTGAAAAGAAGGTCCTTATTTGATGTCAGAGAAAAAAGAAGATAATAACACAAAAAGCCATCATTCAGAAATAGAGTAAATTTTACAAACAACGAAGTACATAGGAAAAATGAGACACACATAGAAGATTTCGTATATATGTGGTTAGGAAAGCATTAATTTCTGTTCACTTTTACATTTCATGATGCCTAGCTTTTACTATGCAGTACTGTTAATAAAGTAAGGGGATAAGGTTAAAATAGTATCAATAAAGACTAGTGGTGGATTAACAATAGTTTGCTGTTTTCAGGAGAAGGGAAAGATTCCTAATTTGTGTAGATTCCTAATTTGTGCAACAACCAGGGATTTGTTTGGATTGATATTTTGAAATACTATATATGTATGGCAAAAAAATATGGCATAATCTGCATATCAAAGATAACCAATAGTCTGAAAGAAAAACTTCTGTATTCAGTTCCTACTTTTCTGGGAGGAAAACTTCCCTTTACTGAAGTACAGGACTTGCAAAAATCAATCACAATAGATAAAAAGTATTTAAACACAATGCATAATATCTGAAATTAACACTGCACTGTTCACTCACTAAGCTGTGTCTGACTCTCTGTGACCTCATGGATTGTAGCATGCCAGGATATCCTGTCCTTAACTATCTCCTAGAGTTTGCTCAAACTTATGTTTATTAAGTTGGTGACGCCATCCAACCATCTCATTCTCTGCACCCCCCTTCTCCTTCTGACCTCAATCTTTCCGAGCCTCAAGGTCTTTGACAATGAGTTGGCTCTTCATATAAGGTGGCCAAAGTATTGGGGCTTCAGCTTCAGCATCAGTCCTTCCAATGAATATTCAGGGTTGATTTCCTTTATTATTGACTTGTTTGATTTCCTTGCTGTCCAAGGGAATCTCAAGAATTTTCTCCAGCACCATAATCCAAAAGCATCAGTTCTTCAGTGCTCAGCCTTCTTTATTATCCAACTCTGATATCCATACATGACTACTGGAAAAACCATAGCTTTGATTATACAGATCTATGTTGGTAAAGTAATGTCTCTGCTTTTTTAGTATGCTAAGTTTGTCATAGATTTTCTTTCAAAGATTGCCTTTTAATTTCACAGCAACAGTCACCACCCAGAGTGATTGTGGAGGCCAAAAAAATAAAATATGTCACTGTTCCCTTTTTTCCCATCTATTTGCCATGAAGTGATAAGACTAGATGCCGTGATCTTAGTTCTTTGAATGTTGAGTCAGAACTCAACATAACTTTTTCACTCTCCTCTTTCACCCTCATCCAGAGGCTCTTTAGTTACTCACTGCTTTATGTCATTAGGGTGGTATCATATGGCTGTCTAAGGTTTTTGATGTTTCTCCTGGTAATCTTGATTCCAGCATGTGATTCACTCAGTCTGACATTTCACATGATATAGTCTACATTTAAGTTAAATAAGCAGGGTGGCGGTGTACAGATTTGACATAGTTCTTTGCCAATTTTGAACCAGTTGTTTCATGTCTAGTTGTAACTGTTGTTTCTGGTATTCCTGGGAATACCAGGAATACTTGCCTCATAAGAAGCCAGTATGCAAGTCAAGAAGCAGCAGTTACAACCAGACATGGAACAATGGACTGGTTTAAAATTGGGAAAGGAGTAGGTCAAGGCTATCTACTGCCCTAGTCAATGTCACTTCTACCTCCTAGAATGTCATAATAGCTTTTCCTCTTTAGGACTTTAAAATATACATCACAAATTAGTTTTTTACGGTTGGTTCACTGGTCTACTCAAAACATTCAAACTGAGATATTGGTGATTTGATATAATCTGATGGAAACTTACTTCTAGAATCGAGAATTCAGCCAGTAAGTCAGTTATTTAAAATATTTATTGAGAAACTGTTATGTGCAAGGATGTGAACTGCTAATAGAACTACATTTTCAGTGCTGGTAATAAAACAACAAATATGAAGTTATTTTCTTGGTACTTCTGCAGTTAAGAATCTGCCTGAGGACAAGGGTTCAATTTCTGGTGGGGGAATTAAGATCCCAAATGGCACTTTTTTTTTTTCAAAAAAATATTTATAGATAATTTCAATACTATAATAAGAGGAATCAATTCAAATTCTCACCATTTGTTTCACAACCACAAAGACCACTTCAAGGGCATCTACAATCTCTCAAAACTGACCAGTTTTGTACAAGTAAACCATATTTCTTTTAAAAAGACTTATGCAGTTGTCCAGGCTCAAGGATATTAAAATCTAGCACGTAGAGCCCATTACTAAAGGTAGAAATACAGGCAATATACTATTACGCCAACGACCATCAATTGCAGTTAAGAATTTTTCTGACAACCAAATGGATATTCAAAGATTGCAACAACTCAAATATTACTGAGCAAAGTGCATTTCTACAGTATTCAGTGTTGCTATTCAGTCTTCTAACTTAAAACAGCCTGTGATAAGTGGCAGCAAAGAAGGTCCTTGCAATAGACTGCCTCTGCTTGAGAACTTATGATGTAATTGTTGCATGCTGCTAAACATCTAAATGTTAAAGATACTCTTAAAATATTTGATGGTAGACTGATTAAGACATTACAATACAAAAAAAAAAAACGTTATGCAAAAGGAAATCGTAACTGATGTGCTTCTGCTTTTAAATACTGTGGAAACATTACAGCAGAATGAATTTTCACAGTGTTTAGGTCAAATGCAGTTACATCACACCAACAGTATGTTTTGCACAATTTAAGGCTTTGGCTGGTTATTTTAGTAGGCTTCTTCCTCTGATTCTTCTTCTTCAGCAGTTTCTAGCCAGCTTAGCCACTGATTTACCTGGAATACAGCCCTGTATTTCCCTGGAAACTCTTGTATTATATTTTCTTTCCAAGTCAAGAAAGCTTTTTCTTCAATAATTTCCATGTCAGAGAAATGAACAAAAAAGTGGAATAACATGCTTTTTTGGAAGTTGCTGTTGTAGCAGTGCACCTGAAGAGCATAGAGGGCACTGACTTGTAGATCAACGTGATCATGAAGGAACTTCTGCATTAGTGGCTTGAAGGAAAGAAGCAGTTTTTGTTTTTCCTGCTCTAATCGTTCTTTGGAAGGAGCAGAGGAAGAATCTGTTTCATCACTGGGTGGGTTTACTTCACTAGAAATGTACTGTAAGAAGCTAGTCATTAAGATGTTCACAACTAGAGAAAGTCACAAGAAAGAGCCTTCACATTGCAAGGAAGACCCAGTGCAGTAAAAATAAAAAATAATTTTTAACTGGAAGATAATCATAATATAAATTTACTCTCTTCAAGGAACATATACTTTAGTAGAAATGACAAACAAGTAAACAAATAAATATCAAAGTATGGGAGGGGTTATGACAGAATATGTGCAATATTATTATGATCATCCTAATGTAAGCACTAACCCAACTTTAGAAATCTCTTCAGTTGAAGAGACAGAGCAAGCAATAGAATCAGACTCAGCTATGGCAAGAATGTTGGAATAATCAGGCTGAGAAATTAAACAATTAATGTAGAGGCAATCCCAGATGGAAGTTGATAGTAGTTGTGGTCCTACAATCTGATTGAGTTCTGGGGAGATTTCTATGACTATCTGTGTGGCATATTTTCCATTCCAGTCTTTACCCAGGGTTTCTTAAGAGACCAGAAATGTGTAAGATGTCTAGCGAGTATAGATTTACCAACTAACTACATTGCTCACATAGCAGAGTTATCCATCATTCATTCAATACAATTTTTTAATCATAAAAAAGATTAATTTGATAAGGGCTTTAATGAATAAATTAGATAATGGGCAAGAATAAATTGGCAATGCAAGCAGTGAGATGGAAATTTTAAGAAGGCATCAAAAAGAAATTCTAGACATAAAAAACATTATAGAAGAAATAAAGAATGCCTTTGATGAACTTATTAGCTGCCTGGATATGACCAAGGGAAGAATCTGTGTTTCAAGGTATGTGGATAGAAACTTCTAAAACTAAAAATCAAATAGAAAAGAGGCTGAAATAAATAGAAGAAAGTATCCAAGTACTGTAAAACCACTACAAATAATGAAACAAGTACATAATGGGAATAGCAGAAAGAAAGAAAGTAAGAAAGAGGAAGGAGGGAAGAAAGGAGAGACAGTGAGAGGGAAGGAGGGAAAAAGAGAGGAAGGAGTGAAGGAAGGATTTGAAACAACTTCCTGCATATAAAGACAGACCCCAAACTACACATCCAGGAAGCTCACAGAACACCAGGCAGGATAAACATCAAAATACAGAACTTATATATATACAATATTCAAATTATGAAAAATCAAAGCTATATTTTTGAAAGATGCCAGAGGGGAAAAAGTATCTTACCTATAGAGGAACAAAGATAATTACATACATAGAATGGAGTATTTCTTAGCCATAAAAAGGAACTAAATTGGGTCATTTGCAGAGATGTGGATGAACCTAGAGAGTGTCATACACAGTGAAATATATCAGAAAGAGAAAAATATTACCATATATTAACATATATATGGGATCTGAAAAAAATTGGTACAGACAGTCCATTTTACAAAGAAGAAATAGACACACAGATATGGAGAACGAATGTATGAATGTCAAAGGAGAAAGGGGAGAAGAGATAAATTGGGAGAACAGGATTGACATATATACACTATTGATACCACTTGCTCCTTGGAAAAAAATCTATGACAAACCTAGACAGTGTATTTAAAATCAGAGACATCACTTTGTCAACAAAGGTCCATATAGTCATAGCTATGGTTTTTCCAGTGGTCATGTCCCAAAGTGAGAAAAATGAAAGTTGCTCAGTTGTGTCTGATTCCTTGCGACCCCATGAGCTGTAGCCTACCAGGCTACTCTGTCCATGGAATTCTCCAGGCCAGAATGCTGGTGTGGGTAGCCATTCCCTTCTCCAGGGGGGTTTTCCCAACTCAGGGATCAAACCCAAGTCTCTTGCATTGCAGGCGGATTCTTTAACATGTGAGCCACTGGGGAAGTCCAAGAATACCGGAGTGTGTAGCCTATCCCTTCTCCAGTGGATCTTTCCAACCCAGGAACTGAACCAGGGTCTCCTGAATTGCAGGTGGATTCTTTACAAGCTGAGCTACTAGGAAAGCCCTACGGATGTAAGAGCTGGACTATAAAGAAGGTTGAGCACCAAATTGATGGCTTCAAATTGTGCTGGAGAAGACTCTTGGGAGTACTTTGGATAGCAAGAAGATTAAACCAGTCAATCCTAAAGAAACTCAACACTGAATATTCATTTGAAGGACTATTCATTAAGCTGAAGCTTTAAACCCGATATTTTCACAACCTGATACAAAGAGCCATTGGAGGGGGGGAACACCCTAATGCTGGGAAAGATAGAGGGCAAGAGGAGAAGGGGGTGACAGAGGATGAGATGGTTCAATGGCATCAGCGACTCAATGGACCTGAGTTTGAACAAGAGATAGTGAAGGACAGGGAAGCCTGGATGTGCTGTATACAGAACCTCCCATATAACATGGGACTCTACCCAATGCTCTGTGGTGACCTAAATAGGAAGGAAATCCAAAACAGAGGGGGCCTGTGTGTGTGTGTGTGTGTGTGTGTGTGTGTGTGTGTACACACACATATATATATGTGTGTGTGTGTGTGTGTGTATATATATATATATATATATATATATATATATATATATATTCCCTTAGCTATACAAGTAGCAACTAATAGGTGGTTTTAGTGGTAAAGATGTATTCTGCATATACATTAAATAAGCAGGGTGACGATATACAGCCTTGACCTACTTCTTTTCCTATTTGGAACCAGTCTGTTGTTCCATCTTTGGTTCTAACTGTTGCTTTCTGACCTGCAAACAGGTTTCTTAAGAGGCAGGTCAGGTGGTCTGGTATTCCCATCTCCTTCAGAATTTTCCACAGTTTATTGTGATCCACACAGTCAAAGGCTTTGGCATAGTCAATAAAGCAGCAATAGATATTTTTAAGAAACGCTGGTCTGGAAGAAGCACAGGCTGGAATCAAGATTGCCAGGAGAAATATCAATAACCTCAGATATGCAGATGACACCACCCTTATGGCAGAAAGTGAAGAGGAACTAAAAAGCCTCTTGATGAAAGTGAAAGAGGAGAGTGAACAAGTTGGCTTAAAGCTTAATATTCAGAAAACTAAGATCATGGTATCTGGTCCCATCACCTCATGGGAAACAGATGGGGAGACAGTGGAAACAGTGTCAGACTTTAATTTTTGGGCTCCAAAATCACTGCAGATGGTGACTGCAGCCATGAAATTAAAAGGCGCTTACTCCTTGGAAAGGAAGTTATGACCAACTTAGACAGCATATTAAAAAGCAGAGACATTACTTTGCCAACAAAGGTCCATCTGGTCAAGGCTATGGTTTTTCCAGTGGGAATGTATGGATGTGAGAGTTGGACTGTGAAGAAAGCTGAGCGTGGAAGAATTGATGCTTTTGAACTGTGGTGTTGGAGAAGACTCTTGAGAGTCCCTTGGACTGCAAGGAGATCCAACCAGTCCATCCTGAAGGAGATCAGTCCTGGGTGTTCATTGGAAGGACTGATGCTGAAGCTGAAACTCCAATGCTTTGGTCACCTCATGCAAAGAGTTGACTCGTTGGAAAAGACCCTGATGCTGGGAGGGATTGGGGGCAGGAGGAGAAGGGGACGACAGAAGATGAGATGGCTGGATGGCATCACCAACTCGATGGGCATGAGTTTGAGTAAACTCTGGGAGTTTGTGATGGACAGGGAGGCCTGGTGTGCTGTGATTCATGGGGTCGCAAAGAGTCGGACACAACTGAGTGACTGAACTGAACTGAACTGAGTGGTAAAGAACCTGCTTGCCAATGCAGGAGACTTAAGAGACACAGGTTCAATCCCTGGATCGGAAAGATCCCCTGGAGGGGGGTATAACAACCCACTCCAGTATTCTTGCCTCGGGAATCCCATTGACAGAGGAGCCTGACAGGCTATGCTCCATAGGGTCACAAAGAGTTGGACACAACTAAAGTGACTTAGCACCAATGCATGCAGAAACTAATATAGCATTTTAAAGCAATTATACTCCAATAAAAAAAAAATTAAAGAATTATACCCAACTTCTATACTTTGAAACTGTGCAAGCCAGAAGAGAATAGAGTGAAATACTGAAAGTGTTAACAGAAAAACAAAACAAACAAACAAACAAAAACCCCCACAAACCTAGATTTCTGAACCAGAAAGATTTTCTTTCAAAAGTGAGTTAGGTGTAAAGATTTTCTCAGGCAAAGTTGAAATTGTTGTTCACAGATCCATTTTGAAGTAAAACTGATAAGAAAGGAGAGAAAATGGGGTCATATAAAATGTTCAGCTACAACTGTAAAGGCAGAAAAAGAGTGAAAGACAAAAAATAGAAACAAAGTACACAAGCAACGAATAGAAATTATATTAACTTTTCATATATAATAGATATCACTCTAACTATATTGATCAGCACTAAATAACAGTGATCTAAATGCATTGATTAAAAGACAGCAATTATCAGAGGAGATCAAAAACAAGAACCAACTATATGTAGTCTATAAGAAACCTATTTTAAATATAAATACACATATTTATGGATTAAAAGCAGATGGATGGAGAAAGATATACTATGATTACACTAATTCAAAGAAAGCAGGAGCAGCTATATTAATTTTAGACAAAGTGGACTCCAGAGTAAGGAAATTTATCAGAAACAGAGTGCTATTATATAATGATAAAGGAACAATTTTTCCAAGGGAATATCATGATTATTAATGTGTAAGTGGGCTTCTCTGGTAGCTCAGATGGTAAAGAATCTGCCTATAATGCAGGAAACCTGGTTTATGTGCCTAACAACACAGTGTCAAATCACATGAGGCAAACACCAATAGAACTGCAAGGATAAGTAGATGAACCCACTATTATAGCTGGTCACTTCAATTTCCCTCTCTTAGAAATGATTCGCCACTCAGAAACAGATGCATCCAGTAGTAGAAAAATCATTAAAGACAAAGATGAATTCAGCAACACCAACTGTTGTAATGAACAACTAAAAACTATTTTATCAAACAAATGCAGAATATATATTCTCAAGCTCACATGAAACATTTCACCTGGATCAAAAAACACAATAAATTTACAAGAATATAT